TGAACTTATCATTAGTTTCAGTGAACTAAATACCCTGGTGCTATACACTGAAAATCTGTTAAAAAACAAAATTCCGTTGGCTTCCTTTCGTTATCTAAATCATATAAAGGCTGGCAGCATTTCAAAAACGGTCGAGACGTTTATTGGGTTCAATAAATCTCGCTGTCTATGCCCGTTGCAGGTTCAAGTAAATAAAATGTACGGCTTTAGTTTAATATTTTGAATTCTAAGCATCATATTCTCATTGTACATCATATTAACCTCCTGATTCTACACATTTAATTCCGAATAACCTTTCAATCTGAGTGGACTTATTTAACCTAAAGACTGATACCAGTTAAATTTTCCTTTATTTGCTTACGTTTTTTGTATATGTTCGGCGAATGTGCTAGCCATACCAAATTACCACGTTGAAAGGGGGATGTTTTTTCGATCCTTTCCAGGTCGGCGTTGGATGGCAATTTAATGATAAATGTAAGCTTAACAGGGCATGTTTTAAAATCAATGTTTTCGGGAAATCTCTTTGCAATAGATGTAGCGTAATTTCGTTATTGGCAGTTATCAAACTTTGTAGCATACCTAATTCGGCAAAGTTGGCTTTTTAGGTTAATCGACCATTGTAAAAAACAGAAGAGGATTCGCATTACTCCCACAAATGTGCTGAAATGCAAATCCAGTTTTTTTTAAATTTCCCATTTCTATCGTCTCATAATACTGTCGAGCAAAGAGTGCAGATATTTAACAATTGCTCGTGTTTATTAATTTCCCACGAAGACAGTGTTTCGTTAAGGCACAAAATCTAACGTCATTTATGCGATAACTGTTGTTCTGTATCCGGAAGTATGAACGCTACGCAACTTCTGGGAGACTTGTCTCCTTTTCTGTAATATTGCGTGAGCTTACTAGACATTTTAATCTTAAAGTTAGCCTGAATGGCATATTCCGTACTCCGATCCATTAACTTATGTTTAAAAAAGCACTGCACGATAGTCTTGGCGTTAAGGTATCTAAATACACGACGCATTAGTTGACAGAATAGTTAAAGTATAAGCTCCAGTTGAATGTTTTGTAGCTTAAATGTAAACTTGCATAAGGTCGAACTTAAAAAAAGAGAATTCGGTCTGGAGTTGTTTTAATTTAACCAGTTTTATTGTACCGTGCACATTTGTTCTTTGAAATAATACAAAACGCAGATTTTTGAAAAAATGTTCATAATGGTCAGCATTGCAGTACAAATCAATCCTGCTTTTTAAATCATTATCCTCCAAAAATACCAATTTTCTTGGCAAATTGACAAAATGAAGGTGTCTTTTGGGAAGTTGTACTACATGTGCGATCGCTTTTTTTTTTCGAGCATCGAAAAGTGAATTCAATTTTTTGCACGCTCTATGTAGTTATTTCGTCCAAGTACAAGTTGCTCGATAAACACATTTTGCACCGCTATTTAACGCCATTTGCTTGTCAGAAACTGTAAAGAAGCATTTGTTGGAAGCTTGCTGACTTCTGATAATATTGTTATATGCCAACGCTATAAAATCATATTCTTCCTGCACCATGAAATGTCTAAACGTCTACACTAACCTCTCGTGTGAAAAAACTTTCATTAGGGTATTAATATTCATGCCATTACACATTTATTATTATGTTTTTAAAGTCACCAACATTATTTTTAGCATATTTAATTCATTCACATAAAGAGTAGCTTTATATTATAAACCAATGTCCCGAATGAGGATCGTTTACGGATGCTGGCAGACATTATTGCTTTTAACTGGAAGCAAAGCACAAAAGGTTAGTGCCACTACTATTGCGTTCCTCAACTGATAGTAACGAGTAAAAAATTGCTGGTCAAAGTTCAATAAATTAGTTTCGATTGCTTAAGAAATCAGGAAGGAAACCTTAACTTGGAAATATGAGATAGCACTCAAAAACCAACAGCGGTAAACTTTGCTTATCAGCCGACGCTTTGGAGGGACGAGCCTAAAATGTGTGACTGTTGTTAGATAAAATATGTTTTATCAAATAAATATATGTACGCACAAATAATGAAAACGATATATTAGAATGAAAGCCAAATACATTTATTTTCAAATCCAGTGAGGAACGTCAAAGAGAGCATTTCCAAAGTTAGCAATTTTTCCCCTTTTGGTTACTATATGTACGTTAACAAGGTGCTTATTTAGCATGCTTCCCTCATAGCACTCTGAAAGCCTCTCAAGCCTTTTTGCGGTTTTAACAAAAAACAGCTAAAATTTAGTCAAGATTATATTGACCAACATTGCTGGGCGTCTTTTTAACGAGTTCAGAGGACGGGCCCGCCGTTTTAGATGGGTTTCAAGCGTGGTATTTTATTGATTTCAGAAAATGTACACTTTCCTTAAAGTTTGCTTATTTTGCATTTGAGTAGACGAAATTATGCGTTCAATTAAAGATAAAAGTTCACGTTGTTTATATAAAATTTTATAGCCCTCTGGTAGCAAATGCGCGCGTACAGGATGTTCGTTTGTTTAAAAGTATACAGGGTAGCATTAGTGTCTTAATCCAACCAGAAGATTAGGGCGGAAGTAGGGCTTACATGTGCCACGTTCGGCCAAAAAGACTTGCAAAAATAAGATAAGAATCAGTGAACATGCGCGTTGTACAGATGGAATAAGTTAGGTATGAAGGCCTGATTGGTAACGCTGCACGTAAAATATGCTTCCTTTCCATCTTCCAAAGAAATACAGTCTGGAAGTTATCCGCCATAGAGACGTCAGTCTGTCGGTTGGAGTAGTACGGAGGTAATAAGCACTGGTAATAAGACAGAAGGTACGGCAAAATCGATGGAAGGCCATTAAGAATGTGCAGAGTCCCTTTTAAATGGACTTCTGAATACAGAACGGCGACGCGACGGTTCTGAAGTCTCATTGCTAGACAGGCGTGATAGTGAGGGTTTTCTGCTCGCCTGAGAAGGAAGATAAAGTAAATAAGATTATTTTAATACAGAAAACGTAATATCAAACAATGTAAACGTCAATCATACGTAGAATTACACACCTCGAAAAATGTTAATAATATGGAACGAGTGAAAGCAAATGCAATCATAAGACCTCTAAGAAATAAGCAGAGTTCTACGGAACAGTTTTATGGAAATTCTCACATTTCGAAGAGCCTGATCGGCTCTCTATTTTCAAAGCCTATAGCGTAATCGAACAGAACCGGAAGTAGCGTGCCATGGCACGTTAGCATCACTTCCTCTGTGACCCACCAGACACGAGGTCGCGTGATTGCAAGTCTCGACCTTTCTTTTGAACAGTTGCAATCTTCGGGAGAACGCGGTGGCCAATAACATGCCCGAATTTATAGGCTGACCTCAATCCGTTTTGTCATTCGTCTTCAATACCGACTCAGACGGAGACCGACTGCGGTGACTGCCTACGCTCTGACACTGCGGACCCGGCGCCCTAGCAGCCGGATTGTATCCATCCAAGAGACAGATTTTTCCTACCTATTCTTCCGTTCCTTCTATACGGAATAAACTGTTCTTACTACTCTGGCCTCCCACTTCTTCACCTTCCCAGGAGGAACTCGGTCTGACGGTTGCAGCGGCAAGGGTTACATCTATTAACTTATTCCCCTTCCCCCGCGATAGGCTTGCCGACCTCGAGCTGATCGAATTCTTGCTGTCTTGGCCCTGGAAGCATGCTTGGCTGCGCACGTTGTGAGTAACTCCCCCGATGGAGGAGGGTTGGTCAGCGGTTGATATTTTTGGCGTTTTTCGATCGGGCGACTCATTTTCTTCTTCAAGAGGGGTCGTTCTGAAATTATGTCTGTGCGGCTTTCTCGAATTCCGTGCGGCCATCTTGTCCTGGGCTGCATTTACGTAACGAGGCAAGATTTTTTAAAATGCAGGTCGGATAAGATACCAATTGATGGCGCTCGCATCTAAATAATACATCTCAAGCGTTAGCTATTCCGTCTTTGAGTTCTCCCGGTCTAAGATGATGGCTCCATAAAAATCAAAAATATGTCCAATTTTTCCCACTTGCGTTGCAAGCTGAGATTTCGGGTTGACCTTCTGAACTGCCGGTTTTTGCTCATGTAGGCGGGTCTGCAGTTTACGTCTGAAAGGAGCCACCACCTAGGCCGGGGCAACTTAAATACGGAACGGCTAACGCCTGAGGCGTGCTATTTGGATGTCAACGCCACCAACAAGAATTTCAAAAAGACGTATAGACACCATCCAAGAACGAACTTCTTCGGTGAAGGAAATGAGGCGTCAGATCCAACAACGGCGACGAAAGGTCAGCTGCCCACGTCCCTTCCCCATGGGGGAGGGAGGGGCGATACTCACAAAGCATGCACCAGTCTGCCCGCCAAACATCATTTAGATTACCAAGGCGGTAAAAGTCGATTAGTCCGAGGTCTCCAGACGTGCCATGACACGCCACTTCCGATTTTGCCCGATTACCTGCCATATACGCTTCTAAAATGTTGAGCCCACTAAGCTCTTCAAAAGTCAACATTTCAATAAAATTGTTCCGGAGGACTCGTCATATTGCTCCGATTACCAACCCGGATTTCTCAATTTTGTCAATACGATCGTGGCGATCAGGGAGAACTGAGGAGGTCAAAAAACAGGCCTTGAGCCCAAAATTGCCTTCTCTTTTCAGTCGGCGTTTATTTTTCCTTTTTTTCAAACGAATAAGAAACCCGACATAATGAAAGGACAAAAGGTATAATGGCGATTTCCCAATAACTTATTATGCTCTGAAGTTTATCGCGTCTAAGAAAAGCAAAGGGTTATTCTCTAAGTGGACGGATTTGAATTAGTTCAATGTTATTTAGTACCTCGATAAAAGTCGTTAATACGATATTTTGAACTGTCATCCTGGCAACGAATAACGATCTGAGTTCTACGGCAGTTAATCGAATTTTGAAAAGGCCTAGCACTATCCACATAACCTAGCAAATGGAAAGATGGTTTCAAACAGAGGCATTTTGCCAGATTTGTGCAAACTTCAAAACGTTACCTTGCGGTTACTTGAAGAATGGATGTCCATAATGATCACACTTTCTTTATCGCTTTCGTCAGACTTTCTTATGTGAACAGGTTCCTGAGACTGATTTGTGATTCCCATCTTAGCCTGCTGGGCAGACATTGTTCGTTCATTGCTCTGCGCAGGACTGCTGCCCCAATCGGAAGCAGGCGGAACTGTCAAGGCAATCATCGACTCCTCCTCCGTCAGACGTTCCGCTTTCATTTCTGATAAATGTCCACGTTGCTGGGTCGCTCGAGGTCGTGAACCGTGCTTTTTCGGGAACGCAGGTTGTCGAGCAGGCTTAATTATGCATAAAAAATATAAAATCGATCGAGTTAGATTCCTGCGTGGTATTTTTTGCATTTAAAAGTTTGATCGAAAGGGAACCCAAACGAAATTTCTACCTCATATAGCTTATTCAAGTCTATTTTACTCCTGTTAATGAAATATGCTATTCATTCCCAGAGAACGGAGTTTTCTTACAGAAAACATCTTTTGATGTAAATAATTTGCAGGTATTCTTTCTTTTCATATGAAGGCCTAATTTAAATTTCTTACATTTTCGGCAGTCGGAATAGATCGGTAGTCATAACTTTGGCCTGATTTTGTAGAGGTTCGAAATGATCAACTTTGAAAAGTTGTTGAAGAGATCGAAGACTTTATATGGTCTGGTTCTTATAGTTGAAAGTGTTTTTTAGCCTTTCATAAAGAATGATATTTTTAAAGGGTTTAAGGAATGTATTTTGTCTAAGTAAAACCGTTTCCTATTTAGAATTTTGTATATTTATTAAAAGTGCAACAAATGCACAATTTGCCTTATGCTATGCACCAAAGTGTATACCAAACGACTTCAAAGAAGGAAAGATAAGAAAAAAAAATACTATTTTTGAGCCATATCGGAGGATGATTATGCAACCGCAAGCGTATTTTAATTTCATATTTATAAATTCAAACATCGCCAATGTCAGTAAGGGGTATGCATATTATGTTTTTGGAGTATTTCCCATGTCCATTTTGCCCATTTCTGAATGCCATAATTAATTATGTGGTAGACTAACCTCAATTCCAGTCGGACGTGTTTGTCTTCGTTGTTTCGATTTCCCCTGGGGTATTGGGGGCGGACTTTGATAATCCAGGACGTTCGGAGGCTGACCGGTAGACTCCGCAGCTCTGCCTCTCTGCTGGCCACGTGGCTGTGATGCATAGGCGCCGGAGACTCTACCGTTGACAGTGGATTCTGATTCACATCCGGAAAGGTCATCAACACAGTGTCTGATGTCCTCCGCCAGTTTCATGTCGTCGTCGAAGTCGCTGTCCTCCACCTCC